TTTTTTTCCGCCTTCGCGCTCTGATTCACAGTGTGACAATATATGATATATACATATGTCCGTACAATATCAAATCAAATAAATATAGAATTCGTATATATACATGTATATGTATCGGCACGCGGATTAAGGTGGATTATCACTTTCTGTACCATCCGTTAGGGGACTCTGCAGACAGACAATAGAGGGTTTAGCGTCGTGATGAGTCGGCGAAACTCCGACGAAGCAGTCTGTTATGTAGGGATTTACATTAAAAAAAAAAAAAAAAAAAAACCGAATTCATGTTTTCTTTGTTTTCTTTCTTTCTTTTTTTTTTTTTTTTTTCGCTTTTGCGCTCTGATATTCTTGTGACAATATATACGTGTATGCATATATCGTCATATCGTCGTAGAGAGAATTGCCCTGTGAACCGTAGGCAGAGAGGGAGAAGAGGACAACAAACGAGGGCCTGTGACAGACAGTTTCACCGGCTCATCAGGAGGCTGAACCGTTTACAGTCTGTCTGCAGAGTCCCTTAAACCGAAGTATTGGTGGGGACCACCACTTTGGATGATAGCGTAAGTGTTAATCCACCTTAACCCCGGTTACCATTAAGCATAAACTACTGCCCCTCTAGAACTGAATCCCCCTCCGAGGTGGTGGGGACCACCAACCACCGCCCTCGAGCTACCTGTGACGACAGTCAACGCAGACTATCCCTCACCCACACCAGACGGAAAAGTCTGCAGACTGCAGGTTCACATCCCATCGTACGCCAACACAACTCCCACGAAACAACGGAAGGTCTGTCACAGCCAGAAAATACGCAGGGAACTGCACAGAGCTGCTGCTTTTTTTTTTTTTCCCAGAGCTGTCTTAGACGAGGTACAGGCAGAAAACGGGGAAAAAAAAAAGAAGAGGGAAAAAATGGACTAAGGAACGGAAGGGGGTTCTGTTGTAGAGTGCTTCGACGGAGTTTCACCCACAGAGGGCCTCCCTCCATTCAACAAATGCGTAAAATGAGAAGAATCTTCCTCTAGAACATGGAAAGATACACCGCCATTTTTTTTTGTCTTTTCTGCATGTCCTGAGTAGTGGAGCGAGGCCCAGAGTCATCCGGAGGAGCGGAACCCTCTTTAGGCCTGTCTGTCAGAGTCGCCTTCCTCCTCCTAAAGGAGATGATGGGGGTAGCTCAGTTGGTACACACCCATGGACTGTTGAAATATGAATCAGACCCAAGTTCGAATCCAGATACAATCATAGGAATAGGATGAAAAGAACTTGAAAAGAGAGTTAAAATTTGGAGTGTTTGAAATTGCCGAACGAAACTTTAGGGAAACGAATATCTTGGCCCCCAAAAAAAAAAAAAAAAAAAATGCTCCTACAAGGCTACAAATTTCTTTTTTTTTTTTAATTGAAAAAAAAAGAAAGAAAATTTTCCTTAAGCATTTAGAGTAGTCGCAGGTTAGATGTAAGAGTATATGAGATCATTGAGATGTAAATAAAATAAAATGTTTAGATCATCATTAGATGTATATAAAATAATATGTTATTTAGATGTAAATAAAATAAAATAAAATAAAATGTATCCAAAGAGAGAACGTAACAAATGAATTAAAAGAGAAAAGAGCTATGATATTTACTGGCAATGTATAAAACGTTAATGAAATTACATCAATTTAAATTTTATTATTAATGTAAAAAGTAAAGTAATATAAAGTTATAAACCCTCTTCCCCCCCCCCCCCCAATCTGACGCTACTCTTTTTTTGTACTTTGCTCCTTTTTTTTTTCTTTTCTTTTCCTGGTACTTCGCGTGGTTTCTTCTTTGCGTGGCTTCTATTTTTACTCCCTTGTCTTTCTTTCCGTATTCCGCCTCCAGAAGAAGGGGCCTTTTTTTTTTTTTTTAATAATATTTTAAGGGCCTTGTTTCCAAGAAGGGCGCTTTTTTGGCTTTTGTCTGCGTAATTTCATAAACAAAATCACGCTTTCCGTATTCCGCCATCTTCCCCCCCCCCCTCCCTCCTCCCGCCGGGTCCTACTTTCCCCTCGCGGGGGGGGATGGCGCAAATGTATAAATTGTACTAATATCATAAAATGTGTAAATGTGAACCTCGTTTTCGTTTCTCTTGAGCAGTATAATGGCTCCTTTTTCCATTGTTGAAGGGGAGCAGGTCAAGTGCCCCTTGGGCAAGACG